TCCACAGGTCAGAGCATGCTCAGGGCACCAGGGACAGTGAGCAGACCTGAGCTTGTGAGCTGCTCACTCCATTGGGAGCTCTGGCTGATGTGTTGAGAGCAGTTCACATCTCCCCATCCTGTGTCCTGCTCTCTGCTCCCCTGGATGGGAACACTGGGGGCATTTCTGCCTGCACTGGGGGTGCTGGTGGAGCACAGCTGGGCAGTTCTAGAAGTGCATTCCGGGTGGCGCATTGGCAGTGCCACCTCTGGGCTGGGCCTGGAGCTGTGCCACAGCAGGCAGCGTCACCCAGGCATTGCAGGGACCTGCTAAATGACCTTTAGTGCTTTCCTCTGACCTCTTACCAATAGGAATTTTACTTTATGTGGATATTTTGGTGGTGTCTTGGACAGGAGGAACCCAGCTCCCACAAGTTCAGTGGGATTCATGTATCCCTCTCCTCTGGGCAACTGAGAATAATTCAGCCTCAGTCAACAAATCTTTATTTGCATTTTCATTAAAGGTCATCAAGGTGCTCACTGGAGCTTTTCAGAGTTTGAAAAGTTGAATTTGAGGAATCCCAGACTGGCTTGGGTTGGAACTGACCTTAAATCCCATCCAGTGCCAGCCCTGCCATGGCAGGGACACCTCCCACTGTCCCAGGCTGCTCCCAGCCCTGCCCAGCCTGGCCTTGGGCACTGCCAGGGATCCAGGGGCAGCCCCAGCTGCTCTGGGCACCCTGTGCCAGGGCCTCAGCATGCTCAGAGAGAAGAATTTCATTCAAATATCAAACATAAATCTCTCCTCCTTCAGTTTAACATTGTCCCCCTGGTTCTGCCGCTGTCTGCCAGTGTAAAAACTCTCTATTTTACAAGCCCCCTTTAGACACTGAAATGCCTCAATAAGGTCTCCTCAGAGCCTACTCTTCTCCAGGCTGAGCACCCCCAGCTCTCCCAGCCTGTCTCCATAACAGAGAGTCTCCAGCCCTCAGAGCACCTCCAAAGCCTCCTCTGGACTGGTTCCAGCAGGTCCACGTCTTTCTTGTACTTTAATTTATCAATCATTTTATTGCTGTCTCCTGCCTGGATGAAAATAACTGGTAAATGCAGGTTTCTGATGGAGGTTCAGAGGTTTACATCTTCCCCATGCTATTTCTGCTAGTATATGCTTCAAATGTATATTCACATTCTTTCTGTGAAGCCAGTTTGTTAGGAAGAAGGGAGTCATCAGAAGGTCATGTATTCATCAGGATTCATTTTTAGAAAGGAACAAGGCTCCATGCTTCTCTTTGGAGCCTTGGTCCTGCTTTTCTCCTTATAGGGAGTATTTTAATAAAGGGAACAACTATAATTTTTCAGCTTTTGGAGACATGGAGTGCTGTTCCCAGAGAGCCTCTACTGCAGTCAGTGCTACCCGGGTTCTGTCTCTGTCTGTGCATGCCATGTTCCTACATTGTGCCTGTAACTGTGTCCTGTAGATGTGGTGTTTCCTGGTGTGTGCACAGGGTGCTTTTAGTACTGTTCTCATGACAGATTGATAATCACAGAATCCCAGACTGGTCTGGGCTGGAAGTGATGGGCTTAAAGCCCACCCAGTGCCACCCCTGCCATGGCAGGGACATCTCCCACTGTCCCAGGCTGCTCCCAGCCCTGCCCAGCCTGGCCTTGGGCACTGCCAGGGATCCAGGGACAGCCACAGCTGCTCTGGGCACCCTGTGCCAGGGCCTGCCTACCCTCACAGGGAACAATTCCCAATTCCCAATATCCCATCCATCCCTGCCCTCTGGCAGTGGGAGCCATTCCCTGGGTCCTGTCCCTCCATCCCCTGTCCCCAGTCCCTCTGCAGCTCTCCTGGAGCCCCTTCAGGTCCTGGCAGGGGCTCTGAGCTCTCCCTGGAGCTTCTCCTCTCCAGGTGAGCACCCCCAGCTCTCCCAGCCTGGCTCCAGCCCTGGAGCAGCTCCATGGCCTCCTCTGGACTCATCCAGCAGCTCCAGGTCCTTCCTGTGCTGGGCCCCAGGGCTGGGGGCAGCTCTGCAGGTGGGGTCTCACCTGAGCAGTGGGGCAGAACGACCTCCCCTGACCTGCTGCCCACACTTTGTATACTTTAGGTCTGTAATATTCCATGGAAAGCACTTCTGAGCTGCTGGGTTTCTATCTGAGTGCACATGGGCAAAAACAGAGTCCTTACTGACTAGAGAAAGGAAAACCAAGTAGGACTGGACACCTACACAGGTGCTTATGATGGCTGACAGGCATGTGCAAAAAGGACCTTTCCCTCCTCCAGGCTTGGGTGCAGGTTGCCTGGGGTGGCAGCTGGAGAGGAGTGATCCTTGGCACTGTCCCTGGCTGTGCTCGGGCTGGGGGTGCTGTGTGCTGTCCAGTGGTGTCACAGCCAGGGTCACTTATCCCAGTGCCAGCTGGAAGGGGACAGACTGATGTGTCTGAAGCACTGGCAGGCACCACCCATCCAGCCCAAAGCCAGCCAGGACAAGGCAGTTTGCAATGTTTAATTTTTTTAAATGTTTAATTTTTTTGTAGACATGTGCCCTGACTCCCTGGGTGAGGCTTTGTGGCATCTCCCTGCCCTGCCTGTGGTCCTGGAGCAGAAGTTTTGCTGCTGGGTTTGCTGTGCTTTCACACCAGCCCTGCCTGCCTCTTACCTCTCTGGGGCTGTGTCACAGAACCTCCTCTGAGGGCAGCAGGATTGTTACTGTGGCTCAGCAGCCTCTCAGGGCTCCACAGAAATGCCAAGGACTGGTTTGCAGCACATGGCAAAGCTGGGAGCACAAGGGAAACATTTGTACCCTGGAAGCTCTGTGTGACTGGAGCCAACAGACACATGTGGCAGTTTTATGATGGTGACATTTTGCATTTTTTCCTCAGCAGTAGAGCAAAATTAATCAGAAATGCTTTGGAGCAACAACTGGTTTATAGGGATCATAGCCCAAGTGCAAGAAGAGCTTTGTCATCAGGACAGCCTCAGAGCTAATTTGCTGAGACATTCAACTGCCTTTAAATCTCCACTGGAGAATTTTTGTCTTTCTGGTTGTGGGTCACTTGTGCTAATTTGGCATTTTTAAAGTAATTTACATTTTTCTTTCAGCACAAACACTTATCCTCTCTAGTAATGAGAACGCTCCTGTGCTTGGTTTTGGGGGTGGTGGTGAAAGAATTTCAGCTCTGAAGGGAGGCAGCTGTTCCCCTTGGCTTGCCAGCAGCTTTCAGGCATTTGTTGAGCCTACAGAGGAAACACATTCTTAAAGTCTGTGTCAGGAACCCAGCTTGGAAGGCAGAGAAGCCATGTGAATTGTCAGGGTTGCTGTAAGACCTGTCACTTGTCCCAGGACTGGGGGTGCTGCAGGGCGTTTGTGGTGTGTGTCTGTGAAACCCTCACGGGACCTACAGTGCAACACATGGAACAGATTTTAATCTCCCATTAGAGAGCTGAGTCAGAAGTGCTGAATGAAAAGGGAGAGTGGCCATGTGGCCATTAGGGCCCAGACACAGACTCCTGACATGGGCTTAGGCCCATGGGTTTGAGGGTAAACTGGCCAAGAAACAAGCTGAGAGCAGAGATACAAGTAAGACTTGTGAGATACAAGTAAGACTGTTCCTAAAATAATTTAATAGTAAGTGCATGGAGCAAACCTCTGCTCCTGCCCTGTCCTGTTCCCTGCAGCACTGGAGGGACAGTGACACTGTTGTGCCTGAGCAGCTCGCTGCTGTGGCAGGAGTGGTTTAGGCTGGAGCTCAGGGCAAGGCTCTGCCCCCAGAGGGTGCTGGCACTGCCCAGGCTGCCCAGGGAATGGGCACGGCCCCGAGGCTGCCAGAGCTCCAGGAGCCTTTGGGCAGCGCTGCCAGGGGTGCCCAGGCTGGCATCTGAGCAGGGACAGGGGCTGGGCTGGGGGATCCTGTGGGTCCTTTCCACCTCAGGGGATATTCTGTGATTCTGTGGTGAGTTTGAAGGCTCTGGAGAAGCATTTCCTGGTGAGATAAGAAGTTTGAAAATTAAAGAGGGAATAAACTTTGGATAAGTATGATTTATTGTTGTGGAATACAAGGTGCCAGGACCCGCTGGAACAGGACAGTGGCCCATGAGGAGACTCTAAAGCCCATGACAGCTCTTGCAGAAGCCAAATGCAGCACAGGGGCTGGAGCAGAAGTGTCAGAGGAAAACCAGGCCCTGGTGACCCAGGCTCCCTCTGAAGGGTCCAGGAGGTGTCACAGCTTGAATGAGTGGGAAAAGAGGGATAGCTGTGGGAAAAGGAGATGGTGGGCTGAACCTGTGAATTTAATAGACTTTGCAGATCCCCACTTCTGTGCCAGCAAGCCTTGAATTCAGGCTTAGAGTAAAAAATGGCATTCAGACCAGCCCTTCAAGTCTAGGTAATATTTTTTTTCCAAATCATATGAGTGTCAATCAGCTACTTCCCAGAAGAAGGAGACCTCCAAACTGGAGATTGTTTGTGTGTTAAAAGGTTTCTCAGGAACCTGTTTCCGTCCTTAGGGATTCAAGCCTCTGCTTTGAAGTTCTATCTCCAGCTGGAAGCTCACACAAACCTTTAGGCCAAGAGCATTTTTTCCCTAAAATATTTGATATCAGTGCTTTGGTACAAGTCTCTTATTTGTGTGTGGGTTTCTGCTTTGTGACTCATCTTCCTTGGCAGGAGACAGCCAGCCAGTGTCAAATTGGATTACTGAGTGAGGGAAAAATCCATATTCCCTGGTAAGATACTGGGGGACCTCAAAGTCCTGCCTTGAGATAATGCTCATCATCAGGCGGGGAAATGGGATTTTTTTTGCATCACTCCTCTGTGAGCATGGAAACTCTCCTCCATACCCTGATGGATCATGTGGAAATACAGAGCAGAATCATTTGTCTTTTTGGGACCAGAGACCCACTGAAGTCAATAGTTTTTTTCCTGTTTTTTTTTCCCCACTGAAGTCAATAGTTTTTTTCCCTGTGCTTGGAGCAGTCATATGAATGTATCTATTTCTCCTTCTCTTAATGCATTCCTGGAGGAGCCACAGGAGAAGCGAGAGGCCTTCAGACAAGTTCCATGCAGGTCCTGTGCTCCAGTGACTGCTGGAGGCACATGCTGGTGGTGCCATCCAGCCCAGGACACACTCCCCATGTCTCCCCTCATTCCTGGAGGACATTAAGGTGATTCATGTGCGACCTGAAATAAAACATGCTCTTGTTAGCAGCCCCACAGTCTGGGACTGATGCTGCAGAGCTGCATCCTCCTTCCAGGGCTGCATGGTGAAGTGTAGTGAGAGTCCTATGTCTATATTGTACTTGAATATCTATATTGTATTTGAATATATCTGTTAGTAATAGAAAAAGGGGAAGTGTAGTGAGAGTCCTATATATTGGATAAGTGGGTCCTAGCTATTCTAAATGAGCTACAGCTGCGAAGTCCTTAGTTGGGCAGCAGCTGTAGCTCGTGAAGGTAACTGGAATAAAAGGGGTGGGCTGAGAGCCCTGGAGGAGCCCCTGAGAAGCCATGAGGAGCTGTGCTGCGGAGAAGAGCTACATGGTAGAAAACCAGCTAGAAGGTATGGACTTTAGGAATATAATAACAACAGTATGGGACTCCAGAAATATGATAATAGCATCAAGTTAACAACAGTGAAGGCTTCCAGAATCACCTCCATGGAGGAAAGTCCCATCTCCTGGGCTCTCCCCCAGCCACTGTCCCAAGCATCTTTGTGTAGCCCTTCCCCATTGCTGTTTTCCCATGGCAAGAAGTGCCTAGTTCAGAAAGCATCAGCCCCCAAGCCCTTTGATCTTTTCTTTCTCAAGAGAAAAAAGATTAAAACGAGACAAGAAGTTAAGGATTTGTGAGGGGGAACGGAACATGAATAGCAAATTCTGCCGCGGAGGTCACCTCCCCCCAGCTTTCTTCCTGTGTGATGGGAGGAGGGAAGGGTGTGGAGCGGGCTGTGGGGGATCCAGGGAGGAAGGAGTGAATTGGGGGTGGAGCGGTGGAGCTCTTCAAAAGGAACAATGCTGCCAGCGCTGGCATTGTCAGGCGGCCCTTTACAGAGGGCCATGAATACAGGTTATAAATTCTTTGGCTATTGAGAGAGCTCTCCAAACCTGACTCCATCCTGCACTAAACCAGGCCTGAGCCCTATCAGTTGCATAGCAATGAATTCATTTACATCTGGATAGTTAATCTCCAATTCACTTGACAGTTTATCTCCTCTTGGAAGAGCAGCAGTGCCTGCTCTATTGTGTTGGAGCCAGTGAGGCTCCTCAGCCAGGCCAGCACCTCTGGTTTGTGCTCAGCAAAGATAAGCAGGGTGGGTATTGATATGAAACATGAAATTATTGCCCCAAGCTGCTTGATTCTGGTATCCTTCCACTCAGCATCCTCCTTACCTTCACCCTTTGGCTCTCCAGGGTGGAAATGCCATGTCCTTCCCTCTGACGTTGTTTCAGTGCAACTGGAGTGTGACTTTTCTGATGTGACTGGCATTAGGTGGACAATTGACAATCCAGAATTATTTCGTTTGTTCTTGTTTACTGCAGTCTCCTAATTCTGCACGGATTTTTCTCTCTGAATACTGTAGGAAAGGAGCTCTGAGATCGAGTCCAGCTGTTCCCCCAGCACTAAACCATGTCCCCAGGTGCCACATCTGCACATTTTCTGAGCACTGCCAGGACAGTGATGCCACCACTTCCCTGCACAGATCCCCCAAGAGGAGCCAATGCTCTCGTTCAGCGTGGCGTGGCAGAGCAGCTCCCCAGAGAGCTGTGAGCAGCCTGGGATGTCCTGCAAGGGTGGGAGAGGCATCATTCACCCAAATTCCCACTGAGGGGAGGGGAGCTGGTTTGTGAGCCAAGGCTTTTTGGGTAGCACTAATTCAACCACTTATGCCTGGAGGGGTGCTGTGGGACTGCACATCCAAAGGGGCAGTGATGAGGAGAGGGAACTTGCTGCTGGGCTGTGTGGGCATGCAGAGGTGAGCAGAGGGCCTGATTTGGCAAATCAACTCACTTTCTGTTTCTGTTGGGAAAATGGATCAGGAAAGAAAACCTTGAGGGTCAGGGGACAAAGTTAAGCGTGAGAATTCCTTGATTTATTCATGGTTTTAAGTCTCCAATTTTAATTTCCTGCATTCAGTATTTGTATGTATTTGATGTGGTTTGGACATGATCTGGAGAAGGGCCACTCTAATTAAATATCCCTCTTCTTTTATCTGGAGTGGCTACAAATCTTTAAGTGGGCCTTTTGTTTCCTCAAATACAGTGCACTCTCCTCTAGTCATGAGAGCCATGGTTGAAAGGTTTGCATGGTTAACACCAAACGGTTAAAAATGGTGAAATAAAAAATTATGGGAATTTAAAGTCTAATACTGAGTTGAGGCAAAGCAACTTTGTCTTTTACTTTTAGTGCTAAACAATCTTTCATTTGTGGACCACCAGGAAAAGACAGAACTGTTTTCTTTTCCCATGAAAGCTCAGGGTTTCCCTGAGTCCCAGTGGTATGGGAGCTGAAACTGGAAGCAGAGCTCCAAAGACAGGGAGTAGCCCAATCTGCTGAGCTGTTCCTGCTCTTCTCTCCTCCTCACCTTGCCTCTCCATGGCAGGAGCTAGAGCCAGGAGGTCACAGAAGTTTTTCAGTGAAGAGCAGCATCAGGCTGTGGGAGCACTCTGCCCACAGCAGCACTGGGACTGGATTTCCTGTCTGTGACAGCAATTGGTTTAAATATGGAAGATTTGGCTCAGCAATGTGGCCATCACCAGCTGATCTTTCTTCAGCATGAGGCTCCAGCCTGTGCTGGGTCTGCCTGGATGATGCCAGCTGGGTGTATCCTTGAGTTACTTTTGCTTCCTTTCCACGTTATCCCTAAGAAACCAGTGAGCACCCAGCAGAGGAGGGGGCTCCCCCAGCCTGCAGAGTCAGTCCTGCATTCCTGGGGAACGCTGCTGCTAGCAGGGCAGTGGCAATATGGAGAGTGAAGCACAAGCACGGGGCAAAAAGGCAGATAAATTCCCCGTGGAATTGTAAGCACAAGGTGATGAAGTCAGAAGGGAGAGTGTACAGAGTCAGGTCTAGCCAGCAAGCTGCAGGGCCCTGACCTGCTTGAGAAGGTGGTCAGAAGACAAAAGTGCTTCTCTGACAGTAAGAGGCCGTGGAATTTCACAATATGATGGACCAGAAGTGAAGCTGCCCCAGCTTGGCCCATTTTTCCCTGTCATTGCCTGCTGTGCCTGGCCTGACAGTGCCATGGGGCTGCTGCAGCTGGGTTGTGTTTCCCCTTGGAGTCACAGGAGTCCCTAGAAAGGTTTAAGTTATTGCTGTTAGTAACCTTTGGCATTTCTTTTTGTCTGCTTCGTCTGAGATCTGCCCTTTCAGCTCCAGAAGGGAAGAGTTTGGGGCTGGCTGTTCCTGGGGAACAGCACACTGAGAAATCCTGTGATGAATCACTGGGACAGCCCAGGGACCAGCATGGTGCATCCTCCGACCACTGGGGATTTAATGGCATTCAGGGTGTGACAGCAAAATGAGCACTGATGTGATTAACCCTGAAAATCTGTGGGGAGATGCTGTGTTTGGTAAATAAATTAAAGGATCTGAAAAAGCAACATCCTGTTTCAAATCATGAAAAAGACTTCTTCCTACAGAACCGAGAAAGGGTTGTGGGTTTTTATGTTTCGTCCGTGTGCTGTTTTTTGTGCTTAGGTGGAAGAGTGAGGAATCATTCCTTCCCATGGAGTTCACCCCCCACTCTGCCTTCACAGGTCCGTGTCAAAATGTTTAAAGGCCTTTTTATTGTTCCTTGGTGTAGAAACAAATTTCTGTTTCTTGTGTCAGAGCCTGGTGACCCCCAGCCATCTCTCCACAGGAAAGATGTCATCTATCTTCCTTATCTGCTCTGTGGTTTTTGTTTTTAAAATAGCCTAACATGACTTGATTTTACTCTTGTGCATATGTTAAAATGAAAATAAGTTCGAATAAATAGCATTAATAGAAATATTATGGTTATGATTTAAACCAAACAAAACTGGGATATTCAAAACTGTATTTTCCACGGATGTTGATTAAACCTCTTTCTGCCTCATTACATGGCAGTCTGGGGGGCCCACAGGGAAGTCTGAGCCACGGGATGCAGGTGGGACAGAGTGGGGTTCATTTTGCACATTTGACATTTGTTCATTTGAAATTTCAATCATAACATATTAGTTGTTTGCAACTACGTTCTTTGTGGGTTTTTTGAGTTTTTCTTTTGTTTTTTAATCAAAAAGCAAAGTTACTTTGTGTCTTCTGCTGCACGGAAGCTACCACGAAGCAGGGTTGGAGTGCACAGGGAGTTTGTATCAGCATGGCCAACCAAAGAGCTGGCTTTGGTTATGAATTTTAGACTCCCAGGCTGGTTTGGGTCATCAGAGACCTTAAATCCCACCCAGTGCCACCCCTGCCATGGCAGGGACACCTCCCACTGTCCCAGGCTGCTCCAGCCCTGCCCAGCCTGGCCTTGGGCACTGCCAGGGACCCAGGGGCAGCCACAGCTGCTCTGGGCACCCTGTGCCAGGGCCTGCCCACCCAGCCAGGGAACAATTCCCAATTCCCAATCTCCCATCCAGCCCTGCCCTCTGGCAGTGGGAGCCATTCCCTGTGTCCTGTCCCTCCATCCCCTGTCCCCAGTCCCTCTGCAGCTCTCCTGGAGCCCCTTCAGGCCCTGGCAGGGGCTCTGAGCTCTCCCTGGAGCTTCTCCTCTCCAGGTGAGCACCCCCAGCTCTCCCAGCCTGGCTCCAGCCCTTGGAGCATCCCTGTGGCCTCCTCTGGACTGGCTCCAACAGTTGCACATCTTTCCTGTGCTGGGCCCCAGGGGCAGCTCTGCAGATGGGGTCTCACCTGACTGGGCAGAGGGGCAGAGTCCCCCTCCCCTGCTGGGGTCACCCCAGGGCAGGGGGTTTCTGGGTCCTTCTGTGTGTGGCCAAGGAATGTGGAGCTTTTCATCCAGCCAGCCATTGCCCTGGGCCTGTGCAGGAATTGGTGCCTCAAAGGTTTGGAATTTCCACCTGCACCCAGAAAATGTCTCAGTGAGCTGCTGCTGCTGCTCACATCCTAATGCTCAGCCATCTGCAAAGCAGCCCCATGGGCTGCAGTTAATGCTCACGTTTGGGTGGGTGTTGGTCCTTGTCTGAGTTTGGGAATTGCTGCTGGATGCACTCCTGGAAAACCCTAGGACATGTGGGATTCAGCTTGTGGGGCAGAAGTTCTCCTTGCTGCTGCCTCCCTTGCAGAGGCAGCGACTTTCTGAGTGTCTGTTATCTTCCATGACGAAAGCCAGATGAGGGATTGCTGCTCCTTACACCAGCAAACTTTCCTAAAGAAATTCTCCCCTGGGTTAAGAACAAGCATGACAAATCCCAACCCAAAGGAATGGAGGCGGGGAATGGGAACTTATAAGCCATGAAAAACAAGAGCTTTAAATGGAAAAGGGCTTCACACCATAACACTTGGCAATCAGCCTTTCACGCTTCAACCTGCACAGCCAGTGCAGCCAAGAGAAAATGGGGGTGAGTTTGTGTCTTCAGGAACTGCAGCAGAACCCCCCTGGCTGATGCCAGGCACAGCCCTGACTGCAGGATGGCAGCTTCAGTGAGAGAGCATTACACACCAGCTCCTCTGTGCTGTGGGCACACAGCACCAGTCCTGAGGGGAATTAACCTCAGGCATTTTTGGGGAGCATTGGAGGCTGGTAAAAAGCAGCACTTCATTTGAGAGTCTTCAGACCCTAGCAAGACTGAGAAAAGTTCTTGGCTGCTTTTTCATAGAATCTCAAGACTGGTTTGGTTTGGAAGGGACCTTAAAGATTGTCTGGTTCCACCCCCAGCCATGGGCAGGGACACCTTCCACTAGGCCATGTTGCTCCAAGCCCCTGGACTCCATTCTCATGGCCTTGCTGCTGGTCGGGGGGTGTCATTGCCCCACAAAGCCCCTGGTTCACCCCAAGCTCCCTGCAAGACTGGTATTTCTGTGTTTTCAGAGACTGGGAGGACACAGGGCTCAAAGTCCTGAGGCAGAGGGAAGTGACCCCCAGGAGAGGGTGTGGGGGCCACTGTGCCAGGACTGCAGTGCTGGATGGAGGATGCTGCAGGAGGGGGTGTGGGGGGGAAGATCCCCATGCAGTCTGGAAAGGATTAAGGAGAGGGTCTGTGGGCCAGGGATGAGAACACTACCTGTGAGCTGCTCCCAGCCTGCCAAAAGTAGGGGCTAGAGGCAGTATCAGAACCTCAGAGGAATATATTTAATATATTTTTTAAAGTATTTTCTTCTTGAACTACTGCAAAAAACAAAGAGCTTGTTTCATTGCTCACCTCCTCTTTCAAGCTGGATGGGATCCTGGATTTTTTTAAAAGAAAACAAAGTGTATTTCAAATACAGGCTTTCTTTTAGTCTTTTTTTTTTTTTCCTTCCAGTTGCTTTCTGTTTGCTGACAGAGATTTTGGGGCCCTGGGGAAGATGCATCTGCCAATGATGATCTCGGCTCTCCGTGGATCCGGGCCCTGTGTCAGGGAGCTCTGCCCCTCTCGCTGCTTCTTCCCAGGCCAGTGTGGGCTCAGCCCTGCTGCAGGTCCTGGTAGTTCTTCCCCAGGGTGATATCATTGGGCCAGTGCAGGCAGAAGGGTTTCAGGTTGTCCCAGAATCCTCCTATGGCAGCTCCAGGTGCTCTGGGATGTGATGCTGTGCTCAGTTCAGGCCTCACACAGTTCCTGACAGTGGTGGACTCCCGTCTTTGCCTCCTTTTGACTGCTTGGCTGGAATATCTCACTTTCACTACTGGAGAAACCAAGGCAGTGAGCTGATCCTTCTCATATACTGTGAAAACACTGGTGGCAGAGACCCAGCTTCCAGAGACAGACCCCCAGGACTTGGAGGCTGAGGGACACGTCAGAGCCCTGCTCTGGTGTCAGCTTGACATTAACCTCCAGACAAGGAGCCTGACAACCAGCAGGAGCCAGACCCTTCACTGTGCCCTCCTGTGCCTTATCAGAGGGAAATAAATCCTGCCTGATTGGTTTTTTTAAATGAGAATTCTCAGCAGATAAATGAACTGCCTGCACAGTGATAATGGGCTGTTTGGGAAGTGAGTCTGCAGAGTGTATGTGCAGCTGGAAGTCATCAAAACCATCTTATCCCATGGAGTCTCCTGTGCTGAACTTGTGTTTACAAAATCAGACAGGAAAAGGAATTTTTCAATGGGTATTTTCTGATAATTTTTTCAGCCCAGCAGAAGTGTAAGTGAGCGCCTGTCTGCACAGAACTGTTGTATCTCTGCTGGGTGCTGGCTTCACCTCCTTCCCTCCATCCCTTTTGACCAATTTTGAAACATCCTGCTCCAGTCTAAATCCACGTGTTGAGGTTTGATGGACACTGAATGCCATGGCCAGTGGTCCTGCAGGAATATCAGTGAGGGGCCCAGCGGATGCCCAGAGATGAGCCCACCACTCCTGCCCCTGTCCCTGCTGTGGCCCCATGGTGTGCAAAGACACCAATCCTTACCCCACACAAACCTGCTCACATGTGGAAGCATTGTCAGTTTTACCTACTATTTGGTTGTTTTTTTTTTTTTGCTTATTTTAACAAGTTCTCCTAAATAATCCTGACATTTAGTCACTAGTTATAAGCTGGACAGGAACAACCTTTCAGAGGATGATCATAAATACTCAGCCATAGTTCACCACACTTTTGTTTTCCCTGATAGTCGCCTCTCCATCCTTTTCTGTGATCTTCTCATCCATAAAAATCCCTTTGTATGGTCTCTGCTAAAAATCAGGGCTGGATAATTGGCCAATTTCCTGCACTCTGGCAGTTGTGTGGATTCCTTGTGCTCATGCTTATCTTCCTCCCCATGTGCCGAGGTCGTCTCTCCCAGTGCAGTGTGGGGCCAGATCCAGCCATGGCTGTGGCTCAGCTCCAGAAAGGCACCATGCAAAAGTTTGGAGTGTGGTGTTCTGAGTAGAGATCCTGCCACAAGAATCACCCCTGCAGCAGGCAGGGAAACATGGGCTCTGCTGAGGGCTGTGAGCCCTGCTTGGGGGGGACCATTAGATAAAAGCCCTTGAGGTGATTTGGTTCAAATTACTGGGTCCATCGTACGGTAACCATGGAAAAAAATGCAAATAGACCTTGAAGCCCAATCTCACGATTGTCTCTGTGTGTGAATGTCTTGGCACCTCACATCTCCTCTCTGAAAAGCTGGTATTTTTAGATTTACGACATTATTTTTGATGCTGGAGGCCTTAAAACTCTTCTGGCATGAACCCAAGCTATTCTGCTATCTTCAAAAATGAAGTCTTAAATGAGAACTGAAATTTATTCAAGTGTATTTGAATTACAGTAGAGCAGAGCACTTCAGCATGGGCATGGAAAGAAGCCTGCAAGAAGGGGAACAAGACTGAGCGCAGGTCAGAAACTGGAGCTTTTCACAGTTACCCCTCTCAGAGCTGCACCCTGGACAAATCAGCTTTGCATGTGAAACATCCCCGTCCAGATGTGAAACCCAGCTGAAATGTAAACTTCTCTGAAGCCTTCACGGGTGGTTTGCATCTGTATCTGTGTCTGATTAGCCAGAGTTGTGCAATGGCAGTGGGTTCTGCTGCCAGTTCTTCCCTCCTTACCTTGACCCATGGTTTCACTCTTTCATGCCTTGCCTTGTCAAACAAGCCTCCTCTGGGCAAAGCAAGTTCAGCCCTGCTTTGTGGGCCTCCAGAGAGACAGACAGCCTTGCCTGACTGATGGTTCTGATTGCTGGGGACAGTTGTGGCACAGACACAGCCAGACAGCTCACCTGGAGCGGGGCTGGAGGTGGGCATGAGCCCAGGCTTTCTCTCTCTAGGAGGATTTTCACAATGATTTGCTTCCCCTGTCATGTTGTTTCAAATTCCTCTCAAGCCGTACTTTTCACAGTCTGGATTTTCTCTCATGAATTTCTCA